CTATCACATGCCACTAGGTTGGAGATATGTCTATGACAACCCTCAGTTTTTTGCTCCCTATTTTTTTTATTTGTTAAAAAAAAAACTATAATTAATTTCAGTTGAATTGTTTGGATAAACCATTGCTTTCCAATTTGAGATTTCCTTCTTGACGACTACATTTAATTTTAGCAAACGTGTAAATGAGGGAATATATCCAAAAAAAAAAAAAAAAAAAAAAAAAAAAAAAAAAAAAAAGAAAAGCTTTGATAAGGTGTTAGTTGCTATTTCAACTTAAAACAAATTTTTTGGGCAAGTGAAGTATGGAAAATATTAGTCCATAAATAGCATGTTTAATTTGTATGAAGTATATATGGTTGTATTTTATTTTATTTTTGATTCGAATGAGGAAGAAATTCCAATACAAGAAAAAGAAATAAATAAGTAGCAAAGAAAAGAAACAAAAAGCGCAAAACAAACAAACCACACTCAAAAACTACAACTACTAAAAACAACTAAGGGGGAACTAGACGAGGGAAAGAAACTCCTCTAGCATCCTCCTGTAAGATCTTCCCAAGCTCTTCCGGAACCATGTTTATGATGCAAGTTGTGAGTCTTGAGAGATGCGCAGTTCGCCAATAATCCGCCACTCGGTTTCCTTCTCTATAGATGTGCACCACTCGAATTTCCCATCGATCATCACAAAGTAGCCTTTGACAATGGTTTATGTCATGAACACATTCACCCCTTCCATTAGCTTTGTTCTGCAACATTTTCACACAAGCTTGATTATCCAAGTGTACCTCAAGCTGCTTAATTTGCAAGTTTTGCGCTAGTTCAATTCCCCTAACAAGAGCCATGACTTCAGCTCTAAAAGCCGTGCAATACCCAAAGTTAGCTGAGAAACAAGCAATAAACTGTCCTTCATGATCACGTATGATGACTCCTCCACCTGTTGGTCCTGGACACCCTTTAGCTGCACCATCGCAGTTGAGCACAAACCAGCCAGGGGGGGAGTGCCAGGAACATTCACCTCCATTCTTTGATTGTTGGTGGTTATAGCTCCTACCTTCTGCTTCTTCATGCTGTTACGCATTTAACAAGGCTCCAAGATCGATTGGGATTTCATCCCTACGACTGAAAACATGACAACTTCTCCATCGCCATATCCACCACACTATAATGCAGAACATAGTATCCCACCCTTAAACATTAATATTGCTTGTTTCATCCAGATTATAGCTAAGCCAATCTTTCAAATTAAGCCGAAAAATTGCTCATGAAATCTTGGGTGGAGAATTTTATTCCATGCTAGCCTTGCACTTGGGCAATCTCTGAGAATATGCAGAGTATTTTCATCACCATTACCACAAATAAAGCACATGTGATCATCAGTTAATTTTCGCTTGAACATGTTCAAGTTGCCAAGTATACGATCGTGGCATGCCAACCAAAGAAATGCTATTATTCTCTGTTGAACTGGGGATTTCCAGATCATATTCCAATATTTCTCATCCAAGACATCAGTTTCATGTCGCATGATACTCATCACTGATTTTATGGTGAATTTCCCTTGAGAATTCCCTTTCCACTAAACTAAACCCCCCACTGTAGGATCAGCCCAAACCTCATGATTCTGGATAAATTTGAGTGCATCTTACGGTAGGTAAGGTGCAATTACACTCCATCTCCAACCTTGATCTTCTTCCCACATTTCCTCGACCGTAGCCCCCTACAATTCCATTGGTATTGGTTGAGTAACTAATTAAGTCACTCAAAGGCTTATCTGTCGCCCACTTGTGATCCCAAAAAAGAGTACGAGTTCCATTTCCAATTGCCACCCGCACACCTTCACCAAGAACTTTGGCACTTTCAGTAATACCACTCCATACATTAGACATGTCAAGTTTAGGGACAAACATATCAACATAACATCTTCCCTTATAGTTCTTGGCACGCAACACTCTGTTAGGTTTTACAGTAATCCAAATAGCAAAGAACTACTTAAAATTGTGGGAACAAAACCTAAACAGTGTATAATTAATATCAAATTATTCAACAATCCAAATACTAATCAAAGTATTACAAGCCAAGCACCAATCAAATATATAATGTAATTCAGAAATTACAAAAGAAAACACAAATGTGAAAAAAATTCTATACTTGCCTGAACTCCAAGCCTTCACCAAGAACATGAACATGAGAATGTTGATGACCACTTGAGTCTCAATCCTTGATACAATGTCTTAGGCGTGTATACACTTTCCTAAAGAGGTTAATTTCCCCCACAACGGTGCTTGGATTCAATCCGGAAATCCTCTTTGAGATACAAAAGACAGCAATTTCGTTCTTTGCACTAAGAATCGAAATAAAGATGACAAATTCACCAAGATTGGATTAATTGAAAGAGTTTTTCTCACAAAAGTTTGCAAGAAATTTGAGAGAAAATGTGGAGAATCCTTTTTGGAGAGATGAAGAATTAACTTTAGTATTTTTCTTTCACGAAAAATTGTCTTTTAATAAAGATTCAACCATCAGGAAAAACCGCAAAATAGGGAGGCGCGGGCGCGACACCTGGAAGCGCGGGCGCGCCTCCCACAATCTGCGAGATTCCACAAGAAGGCAGTGAGGGGCGCGGTTTAGGCGCGACCAGCAGCACGGGCGCTCCACCAGGACGCGCGAGCGCGCCAACCACACCCTTCCAATTCGCTGATTTCCAGAGAGGTGCGTGGTTTAGGCGCGCTCTCTGCGCGACCGCGCCTACATTGCGCGGGAGCTCTTCATGGGCGCAAGCGCGTAACCATCAATACTTTAAATATCCAACACACTCGAGCCCAAAGTGAATGAGGCTCACTAAGCATTCTCCAACCCAATTTCGTGAGGAAAGCCAAATTAGCTTGTTTGGCAGAGTGAATACCGATCCCTCCAATTTCCTTGGGTTTTTGCAGACATTCCCAAGAAAGTAAATGAACTTTCTTCTTATCTTCATTCCCACCCCACACAAATCTCCTCGTTTTCTTATCGATGTCATCACAAATCGATCTCGGAATTTTGGCAGTTTGCATCGAATAATAGGACATAGTAGACAAAGTCGATTTTGCTAATGTGATTTGCCCTGTTAGAGATAAATACTTGGATTTCCAACCAACTAATTGTCGATCGATTTTCTCGCACAAATGGCTAAAGGTGTCTTTGGTAACCCTGCTAGTAAGAGTAGGCATTCCCAAGTACATTCCCAAATCCGAAGTCACCTCCATTCTCAACTACGTACCGATTTCCAATTGCTTGTCCATCTCCACATTTTTTGAAATATAAACTCTGGATTTTGGAAGGCTCACCTTTTGGCCTGAGGCACTGCAAAACCGATTCAAGCAATTTCGAATTAAAGCAGCTTGTTCGACACTTGATTCAGTGAATAAAACTATATCATCCGCAAAAAATAAATTCGAGAGCCCGCACCAGGCCATTTTTGCTTGCACGAATGGTTTTCCAATTACCATTAATTATTGCTTCCTCGATTACTTGGTAAAAGCGTTCCATGCACATCACAAATAAATAAGGGAATAAAGGTTCCCCTTGTCGTATTCCTCAACTTGGTTTGAAGGGTTTGGAAGGCTCACCATTCCAAAGGACTTGCAAAGAGGCGGTAGTAATACAATCCATGATGACCTCTACCATATTAATTGGAATATTCATTTGCACAAGAGTATCTCGGATAAATGCCCATCTAAGCCTATCATAGGCTTTCTCAAAATCTATTTTAATAGCCATGTATCCCGTTGCCCCTTGCTTCTTTCTCATAGTGTGTAGAACTTCTTGCATAATCACTATGTTATCTGTTATTTGCCTTCCCGGGACAAAGCATGATTGAGTGTTAGAAATGAGATGAGGGAGGATTGGCTTGATCCGATTAATGATGACCTTCGTGATTATCTTATTAGCCACATTGCAGTGCCCAATTGGGCGAAATTGGGATGCCATCTCAGGTTGCTCAACTTTCGGGAATAATGCAATATATGTGTTGTTGAGTTCTTCTGTTGATTTCTTCCCTTCTAAATCGACAGAATTGCATCATACACATTTTTAGTAGAGGTGATCATTGGGCGGGCCGGGCCGGGCCAAGGCTAAAAAAATTTGCCCATTTTTCAGGCCGGGCCAAACTTCTGGCTGAAAATTTTGTGCCCAAAGTGGTCGGGCCGGACGGGCTTTTCGGACCATTTCGGGCCGGGCTAAAAAAACAACTAAAAATGCATAAAAACGCATTCCCAAACCCGTCTAAAAAAATAATTTTTCAGGCCGGGCCGGGCCCAACTCGATTTCGAGCCGGAAAAATCTGCCCAAAACCCGCCCAAAATTGGGCCGGGTCGGGCTGGGCCAACATTGATCACCTCTAATTTTTAGAAATCAATTCCCAATTTTTCTGATAAAAAAAGACTTGAAATCCATCGGGGCCTGGTGCTTTGAGGGCATCCTTATTTTTGATTACCTCGTCAATGTCATGTCTCAAGTATTGTCTAGTGAGAAAATTCCAGTTAGTGGTACATAATTCAGGGAAAATATCTTGCTGTATGTCCCTCAAGTTTTGCTCACCTTCCTCTGTAAATAAATTCAAGAAATACTCGACAATGATATTCTGAATTTCGCACTTATCTTGAGTCCAAGCTCCCTCCTTGTTCTTTAAAGCAAAAATTTCATTCTTCCATCTTCGCACAATGGTACTTAAATGGAAGAATTTTGTATTTCTATCACCATCTTGCAGCCATGTTATTCGAGATTTTTTATACCATAGTGTCTCCTCACGATCCAAAATCTCATCCAATTCTTTGCGAAGTTTGCTAGAGATTTTTGAATACCTCTAAGACGTGCAAGAAGGATGTGTTTCTGCTTGAATATGTTTCCAAATGTTTCCCGATTCCAATGTTGCAAGTCAGTAGAGAGTTTGGCAAGGGCAGGAACAAGGGGCATGTCCTTACTCCAATTTTGCTCGAAAAATTCACTAAAGTTCTCATGTTGCAACCATGCTACTTGAAATCGAAAGGGTCTATGCATAGATCAGATTCCATAAGCACAAATCCATTCGGTGAGATAAATATGGGGTAGTGATCCAAAGTAGCTACAGTCAAGCGTCTCATAGCAGCTTTGTAGAATCTCAACGCCCACTGATCATTGCACAAAGCTCTGTCTAATCGGCCACTTTGTCTGGTTTCTAGAGTCTTCCCTTTGGCCCAAGTATGAGCAGCACCTGAAAACTCAACTTCAAGCAAATCCATTCCTTCAATCCATGCATTGAACATAGCAGATATCCTATTGGTTTCATTGCAAGAGATGTTTCTCTCCGATAGGAATCGAGTATCATTAAAATCCCCTGCCATAAGCCACAGTTTTCCATGAGTTTGCGCAAAATTTTCTAATTCATTCCATAATTCTCTTCTCTTCGCAGGGTCCAGACTTGCATAGACTGCAGTGAAGTACCAAGGAATAGTTCCCACACGAGATATTTCCATGGTAGTGTATTGATTGTGTTGAATGATAGCGCTCACTGTCACAATATCAGTCCTCCAATAAACCCATATCCCCTCACTAAATCCAACTGCATCTGTTCTAACATGGCCATCATAACCAAGAATCGAAGCAATTTTCAAGGCTTGTTCCCCTCCCATATGAGTTTTTACCAAAGCAAGCACATTCGGTTTATTGACCCTAACCAAGTCTTTCAAATTCGTGACAAAATTTACTACCTGCACCTTGTATGTTCCATATCATACAAGTAATTGGTAGAGAGTCCGGAGCTTAATTTGGGATTGTATCTTCCATAGAAACAGGTATAGAAGGTAACGAGGTCATATAAGCTTGACTAATAAATCTAAGCAAATGCTTAAATTCATTGGGGATCTTCATTGTTGCCACCAACTCTAGAGGAATCGTAGTTGGGGGTAACATTGAGTCTAGCTACACTTCTAATACACATATCAGAGGGTTCAGAATTACCATGTATGGTTCCTCCATTGGGTGCACATAAAATCTTGTCTGTAGGAATTGTGAGAGTGATCGGTGAAGGAGCTTTAGACATGAGTGATGGCTATTTTTGGCACTTCCACTTCTTGAATTTGCTCTTTGTTGGCTACAGGGTTGCTTGCTTTTGCTTGGGTGTTAGCTCGAGTGATATCAACTGTGTTAGCCTCATGAGCATAACTAGCATTCTCTTTTCCTTCGTGGAGTAGGCTAGTGCTTTTGTTAATGATAATATTTTGATTATCACTAATTTCCTTAAGTGGCGTGCTATTATTTTTGGAAGATAAATTTTTCTTTTTTTCTTGACAGACTCTGGAAGGATTTTTTTTTTTTTTTTTAATTTTGATTGGGATTGATTTGAGGCAATATTATTTAGCTTAAAAGTAGGAACAAAATCCTTTCTTGCCAGAATATTATGAGATTTTTCACTAAGATTGATGGTCTAAAAAATATTTCCATCTTTATCTTGAGGATTTTCAATTATATATTCCTCTCCCATATTTTTTTCCTTAAAAATCCCACCTTCCTCTTCAACTTGGTTCTCAAGCATAGCAAATCTTGACCCCGATCCCTGATTTCCAGCTAATCCCTTATTTGACTTATTATTTTCCAAAGCAAAATTTTGATTTTTTTTCATAATTTGGACTCCACCCGGATTAGGTTTGGCACCTCCAACCGGGTTTTTTTTTTCCACCCTAGGATTTCTCTTTCGGATCGGTTTTTTCACCATCATCCATGAGCCAAAGTCCTCAGTTTCTTCAGGCTTGGGATTGTGGTTATGCAATGGATTTTCTTGGACAGTCATAGCATTAGCATGGGTTTCAGATTGAAAAGCAGGACAATCATCCTCCGCATGACCGAGTTTTCCACATCTAAAACAGATCATACGATTACCTTTATATTGTACCCTCCAAATTTTCCCTTTCAACCAAAATTTGGACAGTAAGGGCTTCGAGAGGTCTATCTCCACACTGATTCTTGTGAATTGTCCTCGTTCTGCTTGTGCAGTGGTTTTATCCACTCTTAACACCTTTCCTATCTTTGAATCAATTTTATTAAGAAAATTGATGTCAAAATATTCAACTGGTAGATTAGGAATGCGCACTCAAGCCGTAAGAACTTTGATCGGAGCTTCATCAGGGATGAAATTAGGTATCCACTTACGTATTGTAAGATAGTTATCATCCAGCAACCATGGACCTTGAGTTAGAACATAGTTGTAATCTGCCTTATCGGAGAATCTTGCTATATAGTAGTTACACCCAATGTCTGTCAATGCTAATTCCCTTCTAATGTTCCATTTTTTCTTCAAGCGTCTCATGTGCCCCATATAGCCTATCTTACCACTGAAAAGTTTCACAATCAAGGAAGTTTTCCATGGTTTGCACAACCTTGGTTTTTCCTCTTTAGAAAGACTGATAACAGGACATCTTTCGTCATTAACGACTTCCTCAGGTATCACCTCATTATTCGAATCTTCCTCATCGTCTTCATCCACATCAATCAGTTCATCCAAGTGCTTGGTATTAGCTTTGGATGATTCACCGTTAAGCAAATCCCTGAATGATACAACACCTCCATTTTGCTCTGCCATCGGCTGCTTCTCCAAAGGGTTAGCTCTAGTTGCTTTTTGACCCTCAAAATCTGCTTCAGTCATTTCCTCATCATTGCTAGGGGATGAGCCAAAGATGAATTGGGTGATTTTTCGTTTTGGTTTCTTGTTTGAGCGATCCAATTGGTCTTTTACCTCCATGGAAAGAGCACCATTTTTCACACTCGAAGGGTTTTTCACAGAGAGAGTTTTTTCCATTTTTGAAGGGAATTGGTTCTAATTCTAGTTGAATAAGTATTGATTGTCGACTAATATGTTGAGCAACAAGTTTTGTGTGTAGTTAGTTATATGATGGAACACATATATTTTATTTTTTTTAAAGAACTCCTAAAGGACATTAAATTTCATTAAATAAAGCCATACGACATCTACAATTAACAATTAACGATAATGAAGACAGATTTAAGAAAATCAAACACGAATTAATCGGGGAAGGGCTAAGAATCTAAATACATAGATATAACACTTCGGCACATTCTCGATTCATTGTCTCATATAACTTTTTGAGTGGATCCGTCGCCGCTTTATAATTTTGTGAGAAAGAAAAATCTTGTGTTGATTTCGTAACTCGAATCCGAGCCATCATTAACCGTAGCCCCGCACAATTAGAGACCCTATTAAGGTTATTCGAAGGAGTTCGAAAAACATTGTCTTTCGAAGGAGATCGAAAAAACTTTGTCTTTCGAAGGAGATAAACCTTTTCTTTCGAGGGAGACATTATTATAACCTAAAAAAACAAAGAAAATATAAAAGAAATAAAGATTAGGGCTTTCCACCAGTGAAATCCGATGGAAGACCCTTCAAAATTAACAATGGAGGCTAGAGTTTAGGAGAGAGAAGAGAGAGAGAGCAAGGGGAGGCTAGGGTAAAACGTATGATGGACCACATTTGATTATAAGAGTAATCGTGCTTAATTGCTTATTTTCATTAATATAAATCCACTTGCCCCATTTACCCATTAGAGCAACCCCTTATTCGTTAAGTAAATAAACCCTATATGAACATCGACGTAACCCTAATTATTATTATCACTAGATGAAGCCCGTACGATGCACGGTTTGTATTTTTTCAAATAAAATATTTTACTAATATATATTTATCAAATAAACTATGTTATTCACTTGCTTACTACTTGAATTATTATTATAAAATGAATTATTTTATTAACTTTATCATGATACTGTTAATGAATTATTAACTTCGTTTCCCATATTTAGATAAAATTCGTAATATAAAAAGATAATATTTTATTTCAGAAAGTTTCATATGTGGCTGATCACACCCTGTGGTCGGGATTACTTGGTCAGGAGTTACTTGGTTGGTCAAGGGTTACTCAATCGATCAGGGGTTACTCGGACTATCAAGGTTACTCGGTCAGTGTTTGGGTGTGTCTCAGCCGGCCACACGATATGACCAGCCACACAAAAAACGCGTTGATTTTATTTTTATAATTAATATAAAATTTTTGATCTAAAATAAATTGCAATTCTTTTTTTTTTATTGGCTAAAATATAACATTTTCCTATGTGACGCTCTAATAATCTTTTTAAAATTAAATCCTACGTGGCGCTCTATAAACTCGGAAAAAAACTCCCATATATATATATATATATATATATATATATATTAATATTATATTTTTTAAATTTTTTTTGGGAAAGAGCAGAGCTAATGCATTCATTAATCAAGGGGAAAAGTGTCCGAGAGTACATAAACGGAAATCACCTCAGGACAATGATTAATCCAAACTTGTTCTACACCAAACGACACGTGAATTTACTCCTTATATGTGAATTTGCCACACCAACAATTAATGGTGTGGTTGACCATATATAGGAATTTGTGTATGTATGTTGATTAAATAGTTTTAGTTTAGAGGTTAAAAAGTTAATTGAAAGTGTTAACGAGCTGTTTAAAGCTAACATAAGTCTAGATTAGTTTAGTTAGGTTGAGACTAATAGCAAATCTACATTTATAAGTTCTGTTTAAACTAACCGATTTACTTTGGGACTAAAAGGTACCGACGATTTAGGAATTTAATGTAAACTAATTAACTTGCATTGGTATGAATTATGATTTTTATATGAATGTCTCTTGACGCGTATGTGTAAAATCTGTTTGAGATTGATGTACTCCCACGGTTATTTGGATTGAAGTTCTATCCATATTTCATTTTGGTAAAAAAATGAATTATTTATGGCAATTATTTATAAAAATATTAAAATACGATATGTCAAAAATGAGTAGTTGTTTAAAGTCTTACTCCTCTTTCCAAAAAATCATATATTATGGTAATTATTTATGGCAATTTAACATAAATTAACGCAAAAAACAAGACATTTAATAAAAGTTTTTCACACATTATTAGCTTGTAATAAATTTCTACATGAGGAAATTTCTTAGCTTAACCGATCCGACATCAGTTTTGAAATTAAAAATTTTGGTATTTGGTTCGGTCTAGTGAACAACTCTAATTTAAAAAGTGATTTATCTTGTCATAACAAAAAATTGAGTAAAATAAAGAAGGAAAGTGTTCATTTCAAAAGAGGAGAGGGAAAATATTAAATGAATTGAGGAAAGAGATCATTTAAAAAAAAAAAAAGGAAATTAATAAATGAGTTAATGAAGTGATTCAATAAAGGGAAAAAAGAAAAAAAAGATTTAAGAAGAGTGATAATTTTCAATTAATAAAAAAAATAATAATTAAGAAAAGTTATCATTTAAAAAAAAAATTATTAAGAAGCGATCCGTAAAAAAAATGTAAAGAATAAATGAACCGAGGAAAGTGATCATTTCAGAAAAAAAAAATAAAAAAAGAAAAAAAAAACATGAGGAAAATGATCATTTAAATTTTTATTTGTAAAGCAACAATTTAAAATAAACAAACAAAAGTGTTTTTTTTTAATTGTTAAAAAACAAAAACAATTTAATTAAAGAGGTGATTAATTAAAAAAGATTGTATCAAATCAAGGAAAGTTATCAAATGTCCATACGTTACCATTACCATAAGAATCCAGGGGAAAGTAATCTCCAAAATTGGGAATACAAATTACTTTCAAACCTAATTTAACCTAAGTTTTTGTTTGGTTAACCAAAATAAACTAAAAGAACCCATTATTCCATTTTTTACATTCATACCCAAGTCTTTAGTTTAGAGTCACTTTAGTACATAACATTTCTTAGATAACCAAACACAAGAAATTCCACACCATCAAGCAAACTTTGGTAGTTACAACTTCCAACCTCCAAAATATATAAACTCCCTTACTATAAAATACTTTGCCATTTATTAGTTCCAAACCAAAGCATATAACCCCCAAACAAAACCATGGCAAAATGCTTTAAACAACCTGCCACGGACGATGACGCGATAATTCTTTTTTCGACCTCAGACTCGAACGAAGAATTATCCGGTTGCTCCTCCTCGTCGTCCTCCTTGCGCCACCACTCACCACCACCATCCACAACCACTTCCTCCACGGCTTACAAGTTAAGTGTCAAAAACCTTTCCTACACCCTCAAACAAAATGGCGGCCCATTTCATGAACCCAAGCCCAACATTGAGATCCTCAAATCAGTTTCTTTCACAGCCCAAAGTTCCCAAATGCTAGCTATTGTGGGCCCAAGTGGGACAGGAAAGTCCACCCTTTTAAGAGTCATTTCAGGGAGAGTAAAAGAGAAAGAATTTGACCCAAATTCAATCTCCTTAAATGGATACCCAATAAAAAGCCCAGCCCAATTAAGAACTTTATGTGGGTATGTGGCCCAAGAAGATGATTTACTCCCTTTGTTAACTGTTAAAGAAACATTAATGTTTCGCGCCAAATTTCGGTTAAGGCAGTTAACCTCAGAGGAGAGAAAAAACAGAGTTGAGAGTTTGTTGCAAGAACTTGGACTACTCCAAGTTGCAAATAGCTTTGTGGGTGATGAAGAAAACAGGGGAATTTCCGGGGGAGAGCGAAAACGTGTATCGATTGGTGTCGAATTGATCCATGACCCTCCAATCTTGCTCCTAGATGAGCCAACTTCAGGGTTAGATAGCTCCTCAGCACTTCAAGTGATTGAATTGCTTTCATCATTGATGTCGAAATCGACACAAAAGAGTGTTATTTTCTCGATACACCAACCGAGTTATCGAATGTTTAAGCATATTTCTCACTTCTTGATCCTATCCCATGGGTGGGTTGTTCACAATGGAAGCCTCGAATCGCTTGAGGGAAGGATCTCACATCTTGGTTACCAAATTCCCTTACAATTAAATGCCTTAGAGTTTGCTATGGAGATAATTTCCAAACTCGAAGATAAAAAATCGACGATTTCACTAATCGAACAACCTAATACCACTCCTAACACAACAATTTGGAACAAGGATGAGAAATTCGACTTTCACGAATCAAGCTCATCGACAAATGATGAAGGAATTAAAGGGTATTTCTACAATTGGGGTCTTGAAATAATGATCCTTTGTTCTAGATTTTGGAAAGTGATTTATAGAACAAAGCAACTATTTCTTGCAAGAACAATGCAAGCTCTTGTAGGAGGATTAGGCCTAGGAAGTGTGTATGTGAAACTAGGAAAAAACGAAACCGGTGTTGGAGAAAGACTAGGCCTATTTGCATTCAGTCTAAGCTTCCTCCTTTCGTCGACAGTCGAAGCATTACCTATATATCTCCAAGAAAGAAAGGTAATCATGAAAGAATCCTCAAGAAAAGCTTATAGAATGTCTTCTTATATGATAGCCAATACCCTAATTTTCCTCCCATTTTTGCTTGTAATAGCCCTTCTTTTCTCTGTTCCTGTGTATTGGATTGTAGGGTTAAACCCTTCAATCCAAGCATTCTCCTTCTTTGTTTTCGCGGTATGGCTAATAATTTCCATGGCTAGCTCATTAGTCATGTTCCTAAGCTCAATATCACCTGATTTTATAGCCGGAAACTCGCTCATTTGCACCGTTCTTGGAGCATTCTTCTTGTTCTCTGGCTACTTCATACCTAAAGAGATCATACCAAAGTATTGGATTTTTATGTACTATGTTTCATTGTATAGATACCCTTTGGACTCATTGATTGTTAACGAATATTGGGGTATGAGAAATGATTGTTTTGCTTGGGCAAATAATAATGATCATACTAGTAATTGTTTGATGAATGGAGGTGACGTTTTGAGGAATAGAGGGCTTGATAGAGATATTAGATGGGAAAATGTTGGGATTATGATCGGATTTTTCATCGTGTATCGCGTTATTTGTTGGATTATATTGGCCCGAAGAGCTGCAACAACAAACTTGTAGTTCAATTTCATGTTGAATAGAAGAAGATTTCTTGTAAAAACTCATTGATTTCATGTAATGTATTTTCATAATTGCATACTTTGTAGTTTAATAACGTTCTAATATAAATTGTCATATTAATGTTTAACAATGGATCCGTGGCGCAATGGTAGCGCGTCTGACTCCAGATCAGAAGGTTGCGTGTTCGATTCACGTCGGGTTCAAAACCCCCGATCCAATATCACGGATATAATTTTTTATTTTTTATTTTACAATTCACTTTAATTTATGTTTATCTTAATCCATAAAATCCTAACAAGTATTCATATTATTCAAGTTATGTCAAAATCAATTTATTTGGACTTCCAATCATTTATCACAAAATGTTAGTACTTACAATTTTTTTCTTTTTTTGACAAGAATGTTACTTACATTTGAGTGTATCTAAAAGAAGGTATGATATGTCAAAAATGCAAAGTTTGTATTTTTTTTGGGTTAATTTTTGTTTTTGGAATGAACAAAGTTTATTAGAACAATGTTTGAGGTTGGGAAGTCTATAAAAGAGACCATTGTAGTGTTTTAATCTATTGCATTCATTATAAAAATGAGATAATCTATTACTCTTACATAAAGATAAATAAACTCATAAACTTTCTATTATTTGATAAATATGAAAAATTTCTGATCGGGGTGCATGAAAAAAAACATCTTGGCGATTATAGTTGAATGTTAATAATGTTTTGTAATATGGAGTATGGAATTATTGAGATGTGATGAATGTTTTTGAAATTATAGAGTAGTTTACTAACACAAACATTAATTTTCTATTTGCAACAAAACCCTATATGTGTATCGAGTCTATGACTTATCTAATTAGAGATAAGCATGGGTCGATAAGGCACGACACGAAAAAGGCTCGACTCAAAACAAGTCTGCCACGGTACTAGAAATACACAGGTGGGTCCATTATTTTCAAAATATGTCATGAGCTCAAAAAGTTAATCCACGTGTCAGCTCGCTTATTTTATTTTATTTTTTATTATTTTTGCTTTAAATCTATTTACAAATAAATATTAGTATTATTTAGATAATTCGCTAACAGCCGACACAACAGAAGCTAGCATAACATGACACTTGAGCTAGACTGTACTTCGTACATGAGATCCTATAATAAGCAAAAGTTTTTGTTACTCCCTTACAAACACGACTTGTTTAAACACATGACATTTAAGCTTAAACGACCCGGCCTAGACTGTGTCCGAGTCTAATTCCTAGCATATGCGTGACAAAACAAAGTCAACTGTGTATTTCTACAACCTTAATGAATAGCGAGTCAGTCCGTAAAATAAAAACCCCAGTTGTCAAGTTTGAGTAACGTTTGAGACGGGGAGAATTTTCTCCTTCCCTCTCACATTCTTCTTCCATCAATAATGTCCCACTTCTCACTTTCCATGTGATTTTAACTCCCCTTCTTTTATTTCCTCCTCTGTTTTCTCTCTCCTCCAATTTCCCAATTACTCCTCTTCATCATCAATTCCAGGTACCCTCTTTTACTCACCATTTTTATTAACATTTATTTTAATTCAATTTCACTAAAAATTGAGAATTTCATCTGGGGTTTCAATTTTTTTAAAAATTTATCCATACCCATTTTGTTAAATTCATTTTTATTTGCAGAATTTGTTGAATAATCGAGGGAAAATTACAGAAATGAAAAATACTTTGAATGGGAGGAAAAGCATAATAAACAGGGGAACTCTGTTTTTATGGGTGGCATTAACAATTGGGGTTTGTTTTGTCACTTTAATGTTGTTAAAAAATCAACCTAAAAGAGTGGGTTATAATGATCCGGGCCGGGCTGACCCGGTTATTGAGATGCCCGAGGAACGGAAAAAAGCCGAAGGCCCGAACCCGAGGTTTCATGTAGCAGTCACGGCTACAGACACACCTTATAGCAAATGGCAATGTAGGATAATGTACTATTGGTATAAGAGGGTTAAGGATTTGCCCGGGTCAGATATGGGCGGGTTTACTCGGGTTTTGCATTCGGGCCGGCCCGATAATTTGATGGGGAAGATCCCTTCTTTTGTTGTGGATCCTCTCCCTCATGGCCTTGACCAGGTGAGTTTTAGATTTTTGTTTGAATGATTGTGCTTTAGTTTAGTTTGGTTTACTTTGGTGTCAAGTTTGTCTTTTGGTTAATTGTTTTGTTTGGATTGGTGTTTTGTGTCATTTCACTTTATGCACATGAAAACATATAGCAACCAACCAAACTAAACTTTTGGTATTCCTAAAAAAAAACCTAAAATTTTAGTAGAGGGTGATTGTGGTGTGAGGATCCTCTCGAGTTACTAGATCAACAAAGAAAGAATTTCAAAATGTAAGAAATTGGTACCTTCAAAACCTCATTATAACTCTTCTTAGACTAGATAGTTCAACAAAAAAAACCGTTTTTTTAGTAGATTATGTGGTTGTTTGGTTGACATCTATATTAATGGTATGTGCAAATTCTTAGGAAATAAAAAAATTGAAAAGTTGTTTCGTTGGCATATGCATAGAAGCATAGGAAGTGGAACTTTCTAATTCTACTTACCACAAAATAGGGGAAGTTGCTTACTTGCTTACATAACTCACTTGGGTAAGTAGAACTCTAAGTTATTATGCATACATACAAGTAATTAATCTAAAAAAGAATTAAAAAAGGAATAAATCTAATTATATTAGTACTTATTAATTATTATTGGTTGGGCTTTTGGCATTTTGTTAATTTATTGTATGGTGATGTGGTTTCTAGTCTAGCAGAATATAGTATAGTTTACTTTGCTTTTAGTTCATGTTTCATGAAATCAAGGTCAAATAATTAAATGGTTAGGTGCATAATTGCTTCTCTGGTACCTGTTACTGGTCAAGGTTTCAAAATCATATATACATATACATCTTTCATAATTGACAATATTCATTGCAGATAATTGGTCTAAATAATAGGTTACTTGTTTGATTTGAGAACTACTTTCTACTATTCTATTAACATATTTATATGTATGTAATCTGACGTAAAAATTTCTTATACTTGCTTGTTCTAAAGTGGAGATTTTTATTTTATTTAGGGATATGTTGTGCTGAATAGACCTTGGGCATTTGTGCAATGGTTGGAAAAGGCAACAATTGAGGAAGAGTGAGTGATTGCATAATAACTTAAGCTTCTCCAAATTTTTGATACTTGATCCGTCTGTAAAAGTTGTCGCCTTTATGAAATTAGTAGTGGTTTGATTGAATATTTCACGCCCACAAATTGATGGGAAGATGTATAAATACTTAGTATAACAAAAAAAAAAAATCTGATTTTTGTACAAGCATCACGTATCCTTAATTATGAGAAATTGAGGTAAACAACTAACTCGGGATTCAGTAAGTATGGAGTAAAAATTTCTTTGATTCCTCTATTTTGTGATAAGTGACAGTTTATTAATGTTAATGTAGATATGTCTTGATGGCTGAACCAGACCATATATTTCTTAGACCCTTGCCTAACCTAGCACACGGAAAATTCCCGGCAGCATACCCATTTTTCTACATCAGACCAGCTGAAAATGAGAAGCTTATCAGGAAGTTCTATCCGAAAGGCTCCATATCAAATGTGGATCCAATTGGAAACTCTCCTGTCATAATAACCAAGGTATATCAGCAAAAAAAAAATTCTAAGTTAGCCATGAATTGTCTCGCTTTCTCAAAGTTTACTAATTTCCTTAATTTGGTATGAATTTTTTTGTCATAGTCCTTGCTGAAGGAAATCGCACCTACTTGGTTGAATGTATCATTGCAAATAAAGTACAATCCTGAAGCAGATCGCACTTTTGGTTGGGTGCAAGAAATGTGAGTTAACTGATACAAGTAACTGTTTTTTATCACCTTGATCAACTATATTCAACTCGAGCTTGCTTGAGATTAATGTTAATGTGGTTGTATGAAGGTACGCGTATGCCATAGCTTCTGCATTACATGGTGTGAAGCATATTCTTCACAAAAATTTCATGGTACAGCCTCCATGGGACATCAATCTTGGGAAAAGTTACATCATCCATTTTACTTATGGTTGCGATTATACCATGAAGGTACTAATAATCATGCCTACATTAGTACATTATTTCCAGTCACTACTTTGCTCTGACTCTCAAAACTATATATGCAGGGAATCCTAACTTATGGAAAAATTGGTGAATGGGGCTTTGACAAGAGATTGTATATAAACAGTCCTCCACCGAAAAATCTTACATTGCCTCCTCCTGGAGTTCCTGAGACTGTGGTATGTCTCTGACTTAGATAGCCCCTTATTGAATACATCATATATCAGGTTCTACCCACCAGATGGTTACGACATCTAGTCATCTACATCCATACTGCCTGATGCTTCTAAAGATACAAACAACATGACGCGTTGTTCTAATGTTCATTATAATTGAAATCTTCCACATAACCATTTTTTGTTCATTAACATTGCAGCACTTTAAATAACTTTTGTAATGATGTGTATGCTGATATTTGGTGCAGGTAAGACTAGTAAAGATGGTAAATGAAGCTACAGCCAATATTCCTGGTTGGGAAACCCTGTAATCGAACGCCTGTGTTATGAACATAGCATACATAGAAATTCTTATACAAAGAATAGGTCTTTTTGGTTTTTGATGGGATGTTTACTGAATATAAATACAGAAAATGTACCGAAATACTCCATATTTTGACAAACAGAGAAGAAAACTACAGTATATTTTGTAGAGAGGGGAGTCTTCTTCCTAATGACATACAAATTATGTTATACTTTTAACGGTTTTACCTCAACACGGAAGTAGATGCTTGAATTCAATTATGGAAGATTATAAAAAGATTTACGCCGCCCTCCTTGGTTTCAATGTGAGTATTAGGTACTGCATGTATGATCATGGTACCTGTAAGTCTTATCGTTGCAATGGTTGGTTTTCGATTTCAGGTTGATACTACCACCGCCATTTTAGACTTGCATTGGTCAGATCAGTGTAGTTTCAAATCAATTATTAGTAGGATTAATTATACACAAGTCAATTGAATCTTGGTTGGTTGGTTGATCATTTCAGGTAATAAAAAATGGGCTAGTGTTCATCTATCCATATACAAAACACAAATCATCATATATAGTCAATGATTTCTTGCAACAACTAATCTTGTCTCTCTTTATTTTATGAACTACTTGTATAATACAAACAATTTCGTTTGTTAAGCTTCATATTTTAATCTAACCTCTTTTCTCTTCTACAATTCTATACTTATTATTTGGTTTACATTCATTTTTCTTATAAAATCTTTCTAAAGTTTCAATATTTTTTCATGTGATAAAGTAATAAACCATACTTGTACAATAATGAATCGGAGAATTAGAATGGGAAGGGGAGCTATGTTTTTGTATGTGGTACTAGCTTTTGGGTTTTGTATAGCCATATGTAACTTCTCTACTCTATTGTTGATAAGAAGTCAACCAAAAGTGTTAAGTAGTTACGGGCCGGATCGACGTGTTGAACCGGTTATCAACATGGCCATGGACCCGGATCAGGGCGTGGGCCTAAACCGGCTGAAGTTTCATGTAGCGGTAACAGCCACGGATTCACTCTATAGCAAATGGCAGTGCAGGATAATGTACTATTGGTACAAGAGAGTTAAAGATTTGCCCGGGTCCGATATGGGTGGGTTTACCCGGGTTTTGCATTTGGGTCATTCTGATACTTTGATGGAGGAGATCCCTTCCTTTGTGGTGGATCCTCTTCCTGAGGGTGTTGATCAGGTGAGTACCATTGTGATAAATTAATTAATCTTTTAGGTATGATTAATAGACTCCAATAGTAATCTCTTCTAATTTTCCTCCTATAATGAAATAATAAAGCCATCCTCTCTGTCTTTCAGAAAAAAAAAAAAAAAAAAAAAAAAAAAAAAAAAAAAAAAAAAGTCTACTATAAAAAGTGCAACTTAGTTGGTGGACTCGAGTGTGGGTGTACTCTGCTCCTGATGTATCCAGTCAAAATAACAACACTTGCTCTGTAGTATTGAGTTATTTATGAAAATATGAAGTATATATTCTTTTGAATTAGTATATGTTCTTGTAATTTTTATTTTAATACATCAACCCACCCATGTGCATTTAATTTTTGACTAAAAAGATAAACATGTATTTTGGGTTCAAATTATATTGACCAAAAATTCTCTAAAATTGAAAGGTATAATTCACAATTCAAGATCAATTCATGAAAATATCTCAAAAATTAATAAAGGCTTGTTCTAAATTTTATAACTTTTTGTATAGGGATACATTGTGTTAAACAGACCATGGGCTTTTGTTCAATGGTTAGAAAAGGCAAAAATCGAGGAAGAGTAAGTGATTTCCTTACTTAATTCCTTTATGAAGAAGTATTTATTTTGTAACAAGCTAAGTGACATTATCAAACAAAATTACACATAAAATCTTGATGTAGATATATTTTGATGGGTGAACCAGACCATCTATTTGTGAAGCCCTTGCCTAACTTGGCACAAGGAAAAAACCCGGCAGCATATCCGTTTATCTACTTCAAACCCGAAGAAAACGAGAACATCATTCGTAAGTTTTACCCGATAGGATCCATATTGAATGTGGATCCTATTGGAAGCTCACCAGTTATAATAGCAAAGGTACAAGTAAATAAGAAAGCAATGAACTTTTGTCCTAGTTACCTCATTTATTTTCTTATGTTCTCGTAGACTAATAATGGTACATTCTACGACTTGTTAGTCATTGCTAAAAGAAATCGCGCCTACATGGATGAATATATCTTTGCAAATAAAAAGAGATCCAGAGGCGGATAGTACCTTTGATTGGGTGCAAGAAATGTGAGTTTAATTTTACAATCTACTTTAGGATTCAATCGTCACATTACTAGTTCAAATAACATTATAACGTGCGTGACTAGTAATCCCAAATGATGGGAGAATTTTCCATAATTAGTTATAATTGACTTAGATTAATGTCGAAATGTGCTTGTGTGAAGGTATGCATATGCCATAGCTTCAGCATTGCATGGTGTGAAGCACAATATTCATGTAAATTTCATGGTGCAGGTATCAAAAACATGGCTAGATTTGATTATATTTTTTGCATAATTTTTGTTGCAATAGTATATACTTGTATATATTTACTTTGATAATATAAATGTTAATTCCTCTGTATTTCAGCCTCCAAGGGACTGGAATATTGGTAGTAGTTACATCATCCATTATACTTATGGTTGTGATTATAACAAGAAGGTACATATAAATTAACCATTGTTTCTACCCAAATTAACATATTAACACCTTATAAATTAAAGCGCTAAAAACACAAGCCAATACTATTGGCATATACCGCCATTTCATTTTCTAGGAACCAACTGCTAGTACATCCTCAACTATACAGAATGAACCATGCTAGAACATTCAGTGCAGTTTTCGCTGTAATGCTGCATCTAGCTATTTCTTTGGTCTGATAATCACAACTATGCAGGGAGGAGCTTACTTATGGAAAGATCACTGATTGGCATTTTGACAAGAGATCGTTTCAAGACGGTCCTCCACCCAAGGATCTTACTCTGCCTCCTCCTGGAGCTCCTGAGACTGTGGTAAGCCTCTGATTTAATTAGATGTCTTTGTCTTTCAAGTCTAAACAGTGCTGCAAATTTTCACTAAAAGTCATAATCGACATTGCACGACTTCATTGAGCCTTTTTAAGTTACTCGAAATCACATTTGAGTATTGTGGATGGCTACTCTTGCTGCAGGTAAGATTAATGTCTATGGTGAACGAAGCCACAGCCAAAATACCTGGTTGGGAAAATCTGTAATAACACATTGACACATTCTCTGAGAATAACATACATGCATGGAAACTCTTATACAAAGCATAGGACTACTATTGAGATTTTGTTGAGGCGCAAAGTTACATACGAAGTGTAGCAGTGCAGAAGATATATGAACAGAGAAGCTTAAACGCGATACAGGTGTGACAGTCCATGCGCGGTGCATAGGTGTATTCTTAAAGAAATGTTTATATTTCCCATATTTATGATAATGTTACACTCCAAATTACACCAAAACTACCTGAAACTTTGGTATACATTTTTCGGATTAGATGATTTAATCTACCTATACTGATACACTAACTATATAGGGCCTTAAGGGTGTTGTTGAGTGTCAGATTTTAAAGGTCTTGAAGTGAGAGAAGGCCTCATTTTGACAATCTGTTCTTCATGAACTCCCAACTTCTTGGCAAGTCTTGCTGCCTCGAAGAATCGCTTTACTGCATCTTCCATGTACTCCTTCCCTTGCTTCACTGTCATTCCTTTAGCTATACTCTCAGGATAACTTGACAGTATGTCGTCACCTTTCATCACTGCTGCAAGATGCATCAGCTCTTGCTGAAACTCGCTCAGCTGCCTGTTTTCATCTGCCTCCCCCTGCCTCATCTTCACCGGCATTGGCAGTTGCACTGTAACCACATACACAAACATAAATATTTATATGATTTTCAAGAAATACACGAAGACATACATCATGTTGTACTGGTGTAGTTTAAGAAAAGTTTGGACTAACCAAGACAGTCTGTTCTAGGTTCAGTTCGGGTTTGTACAATGCCCTCAAAGGTGCCAGCCCAAGCATCTCTTTTAGTTAGGAAAGGGCTAGACAGGTTGAAGAGTTTCTTGACAGTAGCTGCAATCGACGAGTGCTCGTACTCTGATGTTGGATATGGTCCTTTAGCCTTATGAACAACTGCAAAATTGTATCATATATGAACAAGTTGAGCATTCTATAAACACTACTTGTGCAATAAGAAATTAATTTCCCAATCAAAATAGAAATAATAAAAAAATCCGACCTGCCGGAATCGAACCAGCGACCTAAGGATGTCTATTTGAACAACTACAGTCCTCCGCTCTACCAACTGAGCTAAGGTCGGATATTAAGTCTAAATTCCATATTTACTCAACCATCATATACATATAATCATCAATTAATTAATGTTTAAAATGAGAGTGAGGGATAGTTGAAATGGTTAGAGGTTCCCTCCCGGTTTCAGGTGATCCTGGGACTGATTCTCATCACCTGTCCTTGTGTCTCTCTAAACACCAAAATAATTCATATTTAAAATTCTTTAGTTATTTACTACGTATTTATTTATTTATTGGGTGGATAACTATAGTGTTTGTTTAAACTAAAATCAATTAATTGATGTACGAAAACCATACAATATCTTAATTTAGCACACGCTTAATAAATCGAAACAAGTAAAACAAAACTTCAACAAAACTACGATTGTTGCAAACCGAACATCCTTCATACCTTCTACAAAGAAAACTTGTGAAGGGAGAAAAATAGAATGTGGTAGATGTCAATTTACCTAACTCTTTCAAAAGGTTTACCTTCTACTCTTGGAACTCTTGAAGTATTGTACAACTTAGGCCAACAAACTATTCAATTACAACTTTTCTTAAAATAATAATTATCTGGCCATCTATGTTTTCTAGGTTTCTAGCTAATTCTATATTCAACTTCAGTGGGATTTCATTATTTCAATAATATCATATTGCATTTCTAGCTAATTAAATAAATCTCCAATATCATCAAATTTTACTTTGCACTCCACTTGGCCACAATGAGACCAATAATGCAATTACAAAATCCAGCTCTCAACCCATTTTAGTCAAAAGCATTTTATCTAGATACTTTCTCTCATCAATTTCTTCAAAGTCAAATAAATGTTAATTAAATTAAAGAAGAGGTTGATTGTTTACTTACCAGTACCCTTCTCGATCCAAGGTGAAATTGCTATAGTAGGAACCCGAACTCCCAACCTATCAAACTTAAATAAGAAAGGCTCTGGCCCCACAATACCATCGGGGCTAGGGACCCCACTAACCGGGCTAGGGACATGATCGTAAAACCCACCATGCTCGTCATATGTGATCAAAAAGAGGGTTTCATTCCATTGTGGACTAGCCCTTAGGGTTTCATACACCTCCTTTACAAACAATTGACCATGGTACACGTCGTGTGATGGGTGATCGTCGTTGGCTGGGTTAGCCTTAGTGTCCGTGTAACGTTGTTCCACGACTACGTAGCTCGGGAGCTTCCCTTCTTTAGCATGTCTTTTGAAAAACGTACCGTAGGGTAAAAATTTTGTGACATACTTGAGCTTTCTTAGATTGCGGTAGAACAATGTGGCAGGAATATTTTGGTAGTAAATTCCAAAGGATATTCCTTCACTATCCAAGTTCTCGAATATTGTCCTTTGAGGGTACCCTGTTAATAAATACATTCAAGTGTTACTCATTAATCATTATCTTTATGCAATAAAGCAATACTTGCAACACGTACTCCTTTTATTGCACATTGTTTTTACACAAGTAATTTTAAATTATAAACCACATTATTTTTGCATCAACTACTAAAAAAGTGCAGAAGTTCTCTAACAAAAAAAATTACTTTTAACTTTGTGCACACACAAATTATGCATTAAAATAATACAAAATTAATGTTATAACCTAACACGAGTTTAAATAGGCTGATTCAAATTTAACAATCGTGGACAAAAATATTGTTCGGAGTAATTGTTTATAAAATAATGAATATGTGGAGAGCAAAAGCTTAAGTAACTAGGAAATTTTCAATTATAATTAACATGGATAACTGTGAAAAAAGAAACACATCAACTACAAAAGAACCGCAAGAGGTATAAAAAAAAAAAATTAATACTTAGTAAAAGTTACCTTTAGCGAGTAAGGCCGGGATATTACTAGTAGCCCCAGCTGAAGTAGCCGAGTGAATAAAAAGCCGGTTCGGTTGAGTCGAGGTCGGAGCGGAAGCAAACCACCGGTCGAACACGGCAAATTCTTGAACCAAAGCTTGATATACCGGAACCATTTCGGGTCTATAACCATTCATAACATGTCTAGCCATTTCCATACTCTTATTAATCGAATACGCTTGCTGTGCGAACCCATTCATAGGGGCCGGATCAGACCCGGTTTGGTCCGACCCAAAAATCTGTTCTCTCATTGCTTGAAATGAGTGACCCGGGTCCGGGTCAACCACATAATGAGCCGTGTCATTGTAATAAATAACCGGAGAGTCCGGTTCAGAGAGAGAAACCCGGTTTGACTCGGACCCGTTTACGCCGTCGATTTTCGGGTTGAGTTTTTTCATCCAACCCAACATGTGGTCGAAGGACCGGTTTTCCATTACTAAAATAACAACGGTTTTGATGGGGCTAGGTGAACCGTGGATTAAAAGAATGTGGTTATTTTGGAGGATAATAATTAGGATAAATAGAAATGAATGAATGAAATAAGGGATACTCCTATTTTTGTTGTTAAACTTCATTGTTTGCTCAACTCTTTTTGGTTTTATGAAAAAATGGAGAGAGAAAATGGAGTAATATATGAAAGTTTGGTAGGCAAATATTGGCTTTCTTCTCTAATATAGTGCCTTTATTAATTTATACAACTTTTTTGGTGTTTATCCATATGTCCATTTTCGACTTTCTCTGTGTTGCACTATTAAGCTTAGAATTATGGGTATTCGTTGCTTCAATACAAGACAAGTTACTTGTTATGTACGAAGTACTTCTTAGTTGTTTATAACCTTAATTCCCGAGAACGTTTGCCCCCAACTTTTAGTTCAAAAATAACAATATTTAACTACTCGTACTTCTATTTTCACTACGAGTATGTTTTAATAGGCATCATAAACCCAATAACCAATTATCAAGGAAAAGCTTAGGGGGTGCAAGCCCCTACCCACCCTAACTAAGATCCGGCTTAATTTTGGATTAACTTTGGATTAAGTATTAACTAAGGTATCAATGAAGGACATTTAATAAAATACTACAATAAAATAAAATAAAAATTGAATGTTTATAGATAATTAAAGTTTTGTTAAGCATAGTGAAGAAAATTGATTAGCTTTATTCAATTTAATCATTATACAAAGGGGAATAGGGGATCGTTGTGGCTTGTGGTTGTGGGGCATGTGAGTAATGCGCAATTGCGGTCGATTGGATACAGGAAAGGGGGGAAAGGAGACAAAGCAGCAGAGACTAGAGAGGATGTATGTTGTTTTGTCTAGGTTGAGCCTTGTGTTTATGGGGGTCACGTTGTCGCTTTATTTATTACTCTGTAGGCCGTACATTGTTTATAATCTCGTTTTATGACATTTTATTTACGAATTAATCTTCTTTTTAAAAAAAATGTACAATGGTAGTTGTTTCGGGTGAAAACAATGGGACCTTGTCGAAGGTCCGATGAAGTGGAGAAGACTAGATTCGATCCAAGTAATGTTGGGGCGAAGGTTTCCTGCACAGTAAACACACGTAAACTAGCCTCGGGGGTGTTGCCGAGGAAGGCCCCTCCGATGCTAAAGTCAGTACAGTGCGTAAAGAGAGAACACTATGCAAGAAATTAATTGCTTGAGGCTTTGCTTGAATGAATGTACAAATGTAATATTGATGACTTTTATACCTCTGCATACATGGAGAAGTTGGGCCTTAGCCCAATTGGCTTCCCTTGAGGACTGATCTTTGACTTTAGCACAATTGGAGAGATGAACCTTGACCTTGGGCTTTTAATTGGATCATTTAATGCCTAAGCCCAATTGGACTAAATTGGACCCAAACAACTTGCCCCCCAGACCCGATTTGGAAGGATGACGGGTCGGGTTTGATTTAATCAGAAAAGGAGGGAAGTGAATGATTTAATTAATCCAAAAATTTGAATTTAAACCGTAATTAAACCGTAATTAATGAGATAACAACAGTTAAGGCGGATAATTGTGGAAGTTGGACGGATAATGGGTAGTTTAATCGCAAGGTCGTGTGTTTAACGGTTACTTAGTGGGGTATTTAAGAGAAATTGAAACGCGGACTCCCCGTATTCCCATTTCTGGAGATATAATCAGAGGCGCGTCATCTCTTCTCACTTATTCACCAACACAAACCCAGAATTCTCGAGAGAACCCAAGAACCCGCATCAAAACTTCGCAAATTCCCCGAGCATTAAGCTTAGAAACTGAGACTTGCCACTACCAATTCGTAAATCGGCAACTTTCGCTTCAGATTAAGGTAAATTCCTTTGATTTTAGTTTATTTTTCTTCGAATTTTAACTCCTTCCCTTTTTTTTTCGACTTTTTTCTTCGAAATTATCAATGGCGAGAGGAGTTAGGGGTAGAGCCCGTGCTCCAAGAAGAGCAAGGCCAATTCCCGATCCCAGGAACAGGATTGGAACCTGGAATGGACGAAGAGCAGTGTCTGACCCTGCTGAAGGGATCAGGGCGACTCCAGTTTCCTCGGCTCCTCTTCAGAGAACGGAGGGGCCGAGCGCTTCTGGGCGGGACGATGAAGTTCCCGCTGTCCTTTGGGATATCCTTCCCGGGTTTTCAGAGTGGGAGGATGCCGAAGTAGCTTCGGCCATGATAAAGAACCGCCCCTACTCATGGTGGGTGGAGAATGCCGAACAGTATCGGCTTGCCGAACAAATTGAGTTGCATTACGACATCCTTGAAGCTGATGGGTATTGGTGTCGAATGCCCGTGACATCCGATAGAATCCATCGTCCACCCCCGGGGTATGTGGGGGTGTACACAAGACAACTTCAGTATGGGCTGAGGTTCCCTTTGGACGTATTCGTCCGAGACTTTCTGATCCATTACAATATTTCCCTATGTCAGCTAACTCCTACTAGCATCCGAAGGGTGATGACATACTTATGGGTCTGCAAGTTCTTCAGGTATGTGCCGAACCTGCACTGCTTAAAAAAGCTTCATCGGCTAGTGCCAAATATTCAAAGTGGGCACGGAAGTCATGGTTCTGGGTGGTACCGGATTGAGTCTCGGCCCCAGTACCTAACCATGTGGCCGAACGACTCTTCAGAAAAGGACTGGATCAATGGATTTGGGTTAGGGCACCCACGGACCCGGGCCACCCTTGCGTCTTCAGCGCTCCCCGGTACCTTGCTGAGCCTGATCCCGACATGGGAAGTTTAGGTCCCCCCGCAGATAACGGCCCAGATCCAAACCTTAATCAACAGAATATCTTCGGCAAGCTGCCGAACCGGGGGGGGCAGCGGCCGAATGCAGCATATCCCGGAGACTTGGCTCCCCGATACGCATTATGTTTTCCAAGAGAACATGCTAGCAGCTGTCGGCCTCAGCCGAAAGTTTAAGGATGGTAAGCTTCTTCGGCTGGGGCCGAGGCTTTTTAATTATCTCTTTTTCTCCTCTCACTTCGCTTTTTTATGCTATGCCAACCTAACTGAACTGACCTTTCCCCTTTTCTTTTTCAGTGCGGAACGAAACCAACGTCGGCATTAACTACGCTCGTCTTGGCGTCAACCGAGAACGAGTTGTAACTGATCGGGCCCCCTCTATCACTGAACCGCGGCATAGAGAGGTTCATCTAGACTCTTCCCTCTTCCAAATTGAGGTTGTTGCTCTGTATCAAAGGCAGAAGCCTTGGTGGAAGAAGAGAGATCCCTAGTTTCAGCTGCTGGACGAAGAAGCTGAAGCTGCCCGTACGGCCGAAGAGGTTGCACGGGTTATTGAAGCTTGTGAAGGAGGAGAAGGGTCCTCCAGGGCTGCTGAAGAAGAAGCTGCAGCTAGGGCAGCTGAAGAAGACGAGGCTTTGCTGAAGACCTCGGTGAGCTTTCAGACTTAATTTTGTCTGTTTCTGTTTGTTGTTTTGTTTTTACTCACATTCTTCCTCCCCCCTTGTCTTTTACAGTCTGAAGAGAGTAATAGACACAGAGAAGGGAAAGCCCCTATTCGTCCCGAAGACCAGATACAAGAAGAGTCCTCAGACTCAGACATGGACGAGCAGCCGCTTCAGAAAAGGCGCCGAAGAATGGCCATCATCGGCCTCCATGACTTTCAGCGGAGGCCGATGACCATCGGCGTCGAAATAAGGGAACCCGAGGAAGGCAATGGATCGCCGAGGGTTCCCCGGCCACCACCTCAATCACCTCCAAAGACCCCTCTGCCACCTCCCGAGATGGAGGTGGATCAGAAAACTCCCGAACCTAAGGGAGGGGTCCAAGAAGAAGTTCAAGAGAGTGCTGTTGAGCACAAGAATGAGGATGCCGTGATGCCCAATGCTGAGGGTTTCACGGGAGACATTGCAAGAGAGGTTGAGGCTTTCGTCCTCACCCCTGAAGAAGAAGAGGTCATAATAATTGACTCTTTTGAGAAGGAGGATGCTGAGCCATCCAAAGTTAAAGAAGCTCCGTCGTCATCCTTTCCTTCCTTCCAGACTCTGCAATCTGGAGAAATGGGTTTCTCGGCCCCCCGAATTCCAATCCCAGATCACATCTGGGACCTCATATGGGGTCAGAACCGAGAAGGTGTTGCAGCCTACTTCGGCGATTTTGCTGGCACGTCCGAAGTAGATAGGGCAAGAATCTGGTCGCTGAAGGCCACTGCTGGGATGGGCGAATCCAGCAGATCAGTTCCTGACCCAGCCAGGTCTAACCAACTGCTGATGATGCAGGTGATTTTCCTTGCCTTTATCTCCTCTAAAATTCAGCTCTATTTTTTATTTTAACTTGTGCTCCTGTTTTCAGTTCGTGCACAATCAGACTCTCACTGTAGAGCTGATAGATACCCTACAAGATAGGGTAGACGCTGCCGAGCACGACAAAAAGGTAGCCGAAGAGGAGTTAAAGCTTGCTAAGCTGAAGCAAGCAGCAGCTGAAGAGAAGCAGCAGAAGGGTGAAGAATACGAGAAAAAAGCTGCTGAAGCCTTCAAAACCTTCTGCGATGCTATGGAGAAGGAAGTTTTTCCCCCACTGATGGAAGGGGAAAAATTCTTCAAAGAGCACATGGGAGTGGACATCTCCAAATTCAAGGCTACCATTGAGAGCCGAATCCAGGAAGGAGCTGCTGCACAAGCTGAAGTGCAGCAACGGCTAGAAGCTCTTGAAGCCAGCAGAATGGCTGCTGAAGAGATGCTCTAAGCCAGGGATGTCCAACTCTCAGAGGCTGCTGCTGCCGCTGAAGCTCAGAGAGCTAAGCTCCAAGAAGCTGAGGATCAGCTGATGGCCAAAAAGGAAGAAGTGGCCCAGGCCCAGACAGAGGCTTCCCAAGTTCAGCAGCAGCTGAATGAGCTAAAAGGTTCCTCCTTCAAGCTCGCCGATGAGCTGAAGAAATCCAAGGAAGACTTGGAGGAGACCCAGAAGAAGTTGGCTGATGCTGAGGCTCTACTCAAAGTCCGTGTCTATACCCAGGAAGAATATGAAATGGGTTTCAGAAACGGGTTCAGAGTGTGCCGAAGAGTCTGCCTTCATGCTGAGCCGAAGTTGGACTGGTCCAAATGTGCTGAATGGGTCCAGAATCCCGAAGACCCTCATATGAAGTATGCAACTCCAGTCGAAGCTGAAATCCTTAAGGCTGAGGAAGCCGAAGAAGAAGCTGAGAGAATGGAGTTGGAGGCTG